CTTAACACGGTTTTGCTATGAAGCCAACCGTTGGCTCCGTAATGGAGTCAACCTTCTATATACAACAAGTAAACCTACCATATTCTCTGATTACTTATATAACACGAATATAATTTTATTAATATGATAGGTTTATTTGTTGTATATAGAAGGTTGACTCTACTACGGAGCCAACTGTACCGAACTTAACAAGTTAACATGGTTCGTGACAAAAAATGACGCAACAATTATATTCAACTAGATAAGGGACAAAATATTCCTTCACCCACGAATATGATTGGTAGCAGTATGGGAATATATATATTGTCATAAGATTCTTATAATATTTTAGTGCTGGTCAAAATAAGTAGGCATCTGCTCTTCTTACTAAATTCATGCCGTTATTGATCAGTTCATGCTCCTGTGTCATTTAAACTAAACCTATAGGCCAGCTCCAGCAGCAAAAACATCAGAAGAAGATCACCTAATCCGGTTGGTTATCCATGGAGATAGGCAAGCTAAATCCTCTCGCCATCATCACTAACAATAATAACACCACCATATATTTCATTCTCTTCTCGTTATTCATCTTCGCACTAATCAAATTAGTCCGCACCAAACCCAAGGTTTCCCCCGGGCAGCTGCCCCCCTCCCCTCCCGGGCTGCCCGTGATCGGCCACATCCACCACCTGGTTGGCCGAGGGTTGCCCCACCGCGCACTCCGCAGCCTATCCCGGCAGTACGGGCCCCGCGTCCTGGGCCTCCAGATAGGCGAGGTCACGGCCGTGGTCATTTCCTCCCCGGGGCCTGCCCGGGAGGCACTAAGGGATCAGGACCCGGCCTGTGCCGACCGGCCCCAGTCCGTCTGCGGCAGTATCGTGTGGTACGACTATGTCGACATCGCCTTCTCACCCTATGGCGAGTACTGGCAGCAGATGCGCAAGATCTGCACCATGGAGCTCCTGAGCATGAAGAACGTGAGATCCCTGTGGCCCGTCCGGCTAGACGAGGCCGATCGTCTCTTGAGATCCATCGCGCCTGGGGAGGCCGTCAATCTAACGGACAGGGTAAACTCGTTCACAACGTCGGTCATATGCAGGGCAATGTTCGGGAAAGCGGAGAGGGACGAGGCGGCGTTGTTGGCGACGATGCAGGAGGCGTTGACTTTGGTGCAGGGGCTCTTGCTGGCAGATTTCTTCCCGTCATTTAAGTGGCTTCAGGCGTTGAGCTTGAAGAGGCGTCGGTTGATGAGGATGAGGCGTCGGCTGGACGGGATTCTCGACGGGATTCTGGAGGAGCATAGGTCCAAAGGGAGGAGAGGCGAGTTTGGTGGAGAGGATATTGTGGATGTTTTCATCAGGATACAGAAGAATGGGGGGCTCCAGTTTCCCGTTACTGATGACAACATCAAGGCCGTCATTTTTGTAAGTGCATATCCGCTTTTGTGAATGATCCACGGTCTTAATTTCATATATAATCCATTTATTGAGATTATACGGTCTTGTTACGGAACCATTCCATCGAGGTTTGTAACCGTTAGATTAACTATCCGCGATGGTTACATAATAATCTAACGGCTAAAAATCCCGACATAATAGTTCTGTAACGGGATTGTAGCATTTCCCTTTATTACATATATCTGCACGCTGTGTGAGAAGTACCAAATATACATGCCACACATCTTTTCCAATTTCTGATTATATATTTGTATTCACCAGGATATGTTCAGTGGTGGATCTGAAAGCTCGTCCGCCATCGTCAATTGGGCCATGGCGGAGCTAATGAGAAATCCGAGAGCGATGGCAAAAGCACAGTCAGAGATACGCAGTTCCCTCAGAGGCAAGAAGAATATTGAGGAGAGCGATCTCACGGGGCTAACGTACCTCAAACTAGTGATCAAAGAGACTCTGAGACTGCACCCTCCGGCCCCTCTCCTCACGAGAGTATGCAGGGATGAATGTAAGGTCGATGGCTATTTAATTCGTCCCAAAACTAAAGTCTTGGTGAATGTATGGTCCATTGGAAGGGACCCAGAGTACTGGGCTGATCCCGAGATCTTTGAGCCAGAAAGGTTCGCTAACAGCTCGGTAGATTTCTTAGGGAACAACTTCGAGTTCATACCGTTTGGGTTGGGCCGAAGGATCTGCCCTGGCATAAATTTCGGATTGGCAAACGTGGAGCTCCCGTTGGCCCTCCTTTTGTATCACTTTGATTGGAGAATGCCTAATGGGATGGATCCTTCGGATATGGACATGAGTGAAAAGGACGGAATGACCGCCCCGCGGAAAGATGATCTTTTCTTGGTGCCCATAGCCTATGACCATTCAACTGCAAACTCGCAACATGATCAGGCTTAGTGAGCCCTGTACATGTAACTGTTTTCTGAATTCTGGTGGAGAATAATTAGAACAAATAAAAAGTGGGAATTAAGTGACATGCAAGCTGAGTTTGAAGTTAATTTGATGTGTAGTTATGGTGGCTGCCTTTGTATTTCATGCATACTATTCCCATATCATCGTGTAAAACCTGTGTACGCGCACTCAAATCAAGCCACACTAGTCTGAAAGTATGTATGAATTCGGACTTCATGATTACTTTTTTGTAACTTGTTTAAATATTTGGTCATTTGGGTCATTCTTGTGGTAGTACATTTTCCTTATTTTGGTTGTGGCTTTATTTCCACCCGTTTGTTCTTTTTATATCTAAAAAGATAACAAACTTGCATAAAATAATGTCCTAGTCACATGTGAAAGACTTAAACATATAAGCGAAAGAATTAATATATTAAGGGTGTGTTTGGTAAAACTAGCTGATAAGCTAGCTGATAGCTGATAAGCTAGCTTATAGCTTATATGTGATAAGTTAGCTTATAGCTTATGACTTATAGCTTATAAGCTAGCTTATATGATAAAAGTGTTTGGTAAAAGTAGCTTATAAGCTAGCTGAAATAAAAAATTCAACGAGCTTATTTTGAAACGCTACCTAAACAAGCTTATCAAATAAGCTCGAGCTTTTTAAATAAGCTCGTCCTACCAAACAGGGCTTATTTAATACAGGAAGCTTATAAGCTAATCAAATAAGCTATAAGCTAGCTTATATGTCATACCAAACATACCCTAAATAAATGTCATCGCACCGAGCTTAAAAAAAACAACCCATTACTACATTCATAACTCTTTCTCACAAATACTCCATTTTTATTTTTATTTTAGTTTTTTTTTTTTTTTTTTTNNTTATTTTATTTTTTTGGATTTGTCAAAATAACCTTGTCAGATTTAAACGCTATTCGAAAAACATGTTTGATAAACAAGGAACCAGACACTAGGTTCTTGTGAATTTAGGATACACAAAGGACATTATTAAGAGTCGATTCTTTCGCAGATGTCATTTCAGTCCGATTTTCCACACTTCTTTAATGTTAGACGTGACAGAATCTTCCATGAAGAGTTTTTCCATCCACCGTCTCGTCAAAGATATTGACAAATCATTGTTTGAGCAAACATGACGAGTAGCACCCATGTTTATCCACAATTCATGTGGATTAGAGAACATCAGATTCAGCTCGAATACAACAACGGCGAGGTGCATCTCATAAATATCATTGGCCAGATTTTCCACCATGTGTGCTTCTTGATTTTTCTTTGGGACCTGCGATCACATGTTTTATGACCAAATTTATTACAGTTAAAACAATTTCCAAAAAATTGTTTCTTAAAATTTTGTTTCTTTGGCCCCAATCCAGTCTTGCCAGTATTGCCATACCTTTGTCTTATTATTTTTACGTGAGCTTTCTTCATGCTCAACAATATTGGTCTTGGCGAAAGAATGATTAATCAATTTATTGTTGTAGTCTTTATTGTCTTCTTCAATACGAAGCCCAACAACGAGCTCTCCAATAATCATTTTCGTTTTCTTATTCAACAAATAAATTTTAAAAACTTTTCAGCTTGGTGGAAACTTTGCAATTAGCCACCTGAAAAATTCCATTCACCACCATTCCCTCGGAATGGATATCATGCATGACTATTTGAGGCTCTTGCATTTGATTGATTACAGTATTCGAGTCTACCATCTTGTATTCCAGAAATCGATCTACAAAAAATTTCTTGATCTCAGCGTCTTCAGCTTTATATATTTTTTTTTCAAAGACTCCTACAACTCCTTCGTTATTTTGATAGGATTGTACACGTTGTACAGTCAAACAGTTGATCGATCACATAATTTTTACATAAGAAACCCGAGTAATTTTATGCTTCAAGCCCACCAACAGCATGGATATCCGGATTTTCCCCAACTTTGGAGGATTCTCCTCAAAAACCTCACAAGGTTCAACGTAGTGAGATAAACAACATATTTTGCTGCTAACGCTTGAAATTCAATGTGTTGATTTTTTTTTTTGTTTATCAGCGTGATCCATTGGAACATTAACAAAAAGAGAAAGTTAAATTGCAGCAGCAATAGTAGCACCGGTATTAATTAGCAGCAACACCAATAACATTTTGCTAACTAGCCATCTTTTAATCGAGCCATGTGAAAAAATAGTATTCTTAAAACATATTCGTCCCGTATGAGCGTCTATTTCCCAAGATACAACGGCGAAACCGAATAAAATCCCGTAAATTGATATTATGCATGAACCAAAATACTATAAAGAAAAATGGAGAAAAGCTTTAAGAACTCTTGTCTTTTAATTTTTTCTTGTGTATTCATTTCAAAGAAAGGCAACCATATTCATAAATATGCACAAAAATGGTTCACATTCAATAAATTAGAACAAAGTGAATGTCACTACAATAACTCAGAAAATAGTTACAGTAAGCCTGATCATGTTACAAGTTTGCAGTTGAATGGTCACAGGCTATGGGCACCAAGAAGAGATCTTTTTTCCGCGCTGCGGATAATCCTTCCTTTTCACTCATGTTCATATCCATAGGATCCATCCCATCAGGCATTCTCCAATCGAATTGATACAAAAGGAGGGCCAACGGAAGCTCAATGTTTGCCAATCCGAAACTTATGCCCGGGCAGATCCTTCGGCCCGATCCAAACGGTATGAACTCAAAATTGTTCCCTAAGAAATCGACTGAGCTGTTAGCAAACCTTTCTGGCTGAAAGGTCTCGGGATCCTCCCAGTACTCGGGGTCCCTTCCGATAGACCATACATTCACCAACACTTTAGTTTTGGGACGAATCAAATAGCCATCGACCTCACATTCATATCTGCATGCTCTGGGGATGAGTGGGGCCGGAGGGTGCAATCTCAGTGTCTCTTTGATCACCAGTTTGAGGTAGGTTAGCCCTTGGAGATCGCTCTCGTCAATAGTACTCGTCTTCCCTTTTAGAGAACCCCGTATTTCGGCCTGTGCTTTCTCCATCACTCCCGGATTTCGCATTAGCTCCACCATGGCCCAATTGACGGTGGTGGATGAACTTTCAGATCCACCACTGAACATATCCTGGTGATCAATGCGTATATATATGTATATAGTTGGAACAATTTTTTGTAAGATTTACTTGAAAACTCACAGAAGTAGTTGTTATGCACTTACAAAAATGACGGCCTTGATGTTGTCATCAGTAATGGGAAACTGAAGCTCCCCATTCTTCTGCATCCTGATGAAAACATCCACAATATCCTCTCTACCGAACTCGCCTCTCCGCCCTTTGCACCTATGCTCCTCCAGAATCCCGTCTAGAATCCCGTCCAGCCGACGCCTCATCCTCACCAACCTACGCCTCTTCAAGCTCAAGGCGTGAAGAAACTTAAACGACGGGAATAAATCTGCCAGCTCGAACCCCTGCACCAAAGTCAGTGCCTCCTGTATCATCGCCAACAATGCCGCACGGTCCGTCACCGCCTTCCCGAAAATTGCCCTGCACATGAACGAAGTCGTGAACGAGAAGATCCTGTCCGTTAGATTGACGGCCTCCCCAGATGTGATTGACCTCAAGAGACGACCGGCCTCGTCTATCCGGACGGGCCACAGGGATCTCACGTTCTTCATGCTCAGGAGCTCGACAGCACAGATCTTGCGCATCTGCTGCCAGTACTCGCCGAAGGGTGAGAAGGCAATGTCGGCATAGTCGTACCACAGGATACCGCCGGAGACGGTTTGGGGCCGGTCGGCACAGGCCGGGTCGTGATCCCTGAGGGCCTCCCGGGCGGCCCCGGGGGAGGAGATGACCACGGCCGTGACCTCACCTATCTGGAGGCCCAGGACGCGGGTCTCGTACCGCTGGGATAGGCTGCGGAGGGCGTGGTGGGGCAACCCGCGGCCGATCAGGTGGTGGAGGTGGCCGATCAGGGGCAGGCCCGGAGGGGAAGGTGGCAGAAGCCCGGGGGAAACCTTGGGTTTGGTGCGGGCTAGTTTGATTAGTGCCAAAATGAAGAAGGAGAAGAGAAGGAAATATATTGTGTTGTTAATATTACTAGTGATCATCTCCATGGATGAGATGATTAGTGGATCTTCTTCTGACGTTTTTGTGTGTGTATAATGACGACCACAGTGACTTAATGGCACTAAGACCACGAAGTCTGTAGAGCAGCGTTAAAACTATTAAGGGAGAGGTTTGCCGTCCTTGTGGTCCTATTTGTCTCGATTCCGATTAAGGGAGAGGTTTGCCGTCCTTGTGGTCCTATTTGTCTCGATTCCGAATCAATTGATTCCCTTGTGAATCCAGAAATATGTACCCAAAAAAAAAAATATTAAGACCATGTGCGGCGGTGCCTACTATTTTGACCAATACTAAAATATTATAAGAATCTTATCTGTCTTGTCCTATACTAAATAAGGCAATAAGAGACTGTGTTTGACACGTATTCCTCTTTTTTTTTTTCAATGATAGGGGATTTTATATCATAGATATGAACATAATACTATTCGGGAAAATACTACATGTATATATAGATGTGTATATAACTTTTACATAGTGTGAGGTCTATTTGAACTTTTATTTTTGGTGGGTCCCACTTAATGTGAGTATTATGTATATTCTTATATACACTATTATGTACTTATAGCATTACTCTATAATCCGAGAGCCAACGAGCTCAATGTTTCAACTAACAGGAGAACCACCCTACCTATGGTGGTCTAGAACAATCAAACAACACAAACTGAAAAATCGGGTAAACATTAAGGCAGCACTGCAGACCAAATTGTTCTTATTTGTATAATAGCGCTAAATGAGTTGTACTTGGTTTTTTGGTATTTTCACCTTATTTTTTTTCTCTATTTTTCTATATCAAGATATTTTCCCACGGGAAATTCTACGGTCCCGCGTCAGGGTTTGTAACCGTTAAATCAACTATGCACGACCACGACGGTGGATAATTGATTTAAAGGTTACAAATCCCGACAGAATAATACCGTAACAGGACTGTAGCATTTTCCGTAAACTCTATTTGCTTACCTACCCCTTCGCCGATCATATCTATTTCCCAAAATCTCAATTTTCGTCGGTTTAATCTATTGTTTTTTTGCGAGATAAAAGTGACCGTTTGTTTTGTCATGGTTAGGTTGTATGGCTTTTGACTAAATCCATGAGTATCAACTTCAAAGTGTATGCTTTTTGTGCATGTTTATTCAATTTGTGATTATATGCATATTATTTATTTGTTACATTCATTTCTTACGTAACTATGCCATTTTCTTAAGTTTTCACAATTTTTCCTTCTATTAAATACAACTGAACATTGACGTTGACTCCTAACAAATCACTGATGAAACTGGTTTTGGCATATTTTAAGGTACGTACGTATCATGCTTTAGTTGTTACTAATTATTTTATCCTTGTTTTTTCTAGAGCTTGATTGCTCTTTATTAATTTTACCATTGTGCTTTAGTTTAGTTATTTATGTGATATTCTTTCGGTCCATTCATTGTCTCTATTTTAGTGTAGTTTTAAAAAATAATGTATTAATGTTAGTGTAGTTTTATTAGTTTTTAACTTTCTCCATATATATGTGTTGTTGTTTGCATAGGCTTAAACACTAGGTTCATTGTCTCTATTTTACTGTAGTTTTAAAAAGTAATGTACTAATGTTAGTGTAGTTTTATTAGTTTGTATCTTTCTCCATATATATGTGTTGTTGTTTGCATAGGCTTAAACACCAGGTTTGCTCGGTACCATTTAGTTGGTTTACAACCATCACGGTTCCAAGAAGCATCACTTGTGCTTGGGTATAAGTTGAGTCGACCTTTACAAGGTTCGCATATGCTGCGAGAGATTTCCTTAAATTAGAAAACCTCTTATATAACAGGGTTTTTATAACAGGTTTGTTAAACCCGGTATAGAAACAAATTTATATCGGGTGTCTATGACACCCGTTATAATGTTTTCAGATTCTCAATTATCTATAACGGTTATTTAAACAATTGTTATAAAATTTTCCAAATTTTCAATTATCTATAATGGTTATTTCAATAGTTGTTATAAAATGTTTCACATTCTCAATTATCTATAACAGTTATTTAAATAATTGTTATAAAATTTTCAGATTCATTAAATCCACGCGTCTCTGTATCTCTCGAAAATACCTCTCCCTGTATCTCGCCAAAATCACAGACCCTCGACCAAAATCACACAATCTCTGGAAATCGCCCAAAATCGCACAGTCCCAAGCCCTATTCGAACTCGCCCGTCGCCGTTCGTACCAAGACCCCATCGTCGTTCTCGCTGCACTGAGCCCTCGCTGCACGAACCCTCGCCATCCGGTGTTGGTCGTTCCAAGCCCTATTCACACTCGTCCGTCGCTGTTCGTACCAAGCCCCCGTCGTCGTTCGTACCACACCGGTGCTCGCTATTCGTACCAGGCCCTGTTTGCACGTCCCCATCCCCCGCAGCGCTCCCCGTCCACTGCGTTTGAGCGCTCACCGTCCAAGTATGTAACTATTTTTACAAGATTGAGAACTTAAAATTAGTTATGTACATTTACATGACATGTGGGGTGAGAGTTGAAATGTTGGCAGTGTGAGTCGTGAAGGATTCGTGACATGTGTGGGTCCATTAGAAACCTTTTTGGACTAGCAACTTAAAGCTCTTGAACAAGCCAACATTGATTCTGTTAAATTTTCAGATTTTCTGTGGTTCAAACCTTTGTAGATAGTTTGTTGTTGCTGCTAGCTAGTCTATAACAGTTAGTGCTCATACTTCTAGTGGCCAAATTTGCAGATTTTCTGTGGTTCAAACCTTCTGTCAAACCTTTTAGTGCTCATACTGCTAGTCTTCTTTTCCTTTGTAGATAGTTTGTTGTTGCTTTAGCCTTGGTTGTTGTTTATTTGCTTAGTTGTTTAGTCTTGATTTTTTTGTTTGGTTTTGTTGTTTGTTTAGCTTATGTGGACAAGTAGTTTGGGATTTTTGCTTCATTATAGTTTAGAGCACCATGGTTTAGTTTATCAGATTTAGGTGTCTTTTGAATTTCTGGGTGGCAGTATAATATGTAGTCTTCACCCTTTAATGGAGGACAAGCCCATATGTAGCAGCTTGTGAAACCACACATTTTGCAATATTCCAAATAACCAATCTAAGGACAAATACATATTGAGGTGATTGAAGTAAAAATGTCGAATTATTATTTCATACTGGAAAAAAGTAATGACAAATTAAACTTAAATCCCATGAATTTTAATTTTATTGATATTTTGCTTGGTCAAAGAAGAAAAAATAAAAGAAAAAAAGTGAGAAACTTGGAATAAGTCTTGAGTGACTAGAGAGCACTGGGAGAAATTATATAGGTGACTTTTAAATGTGTGTGTGTGTGTGTGTTTTAGAGAGTTGTTAGAAGTGTTTGGTTTTTTTTCATATAAAAGATGTAAAGAATGCTGGATAGAGGAGAAGATGGGACATGGGAGAATGTGTGATTATGACTAGTTTTTTTTTTTATTTTTTCATGTTGAATGATTTTATTCTCTGTAAATAATTATTGGAAAATTTTGAAATGGATAAAATAAGTTATACATGTGTTTTTTAACTTTTTTTGGGGTTTGATGGTGATGGGCATTATCATTCTAAAATGAGTATCAAAACCAGCAGTTGTGCACATGTTATAGTGAAAGTATATTATACTGATTTTACACTTTTGGTGTTGGCGGGGAGTAAAATATTGGTGTCTTTAAAGTTAAAAACTTTTGATGTTGTCTTGAAAGATTTAATAACCCATTAACTCTTACTTTATAGTATTATAGTACTGCATTATCGGTTTATAGATTCTAACTGTGTTAGATTCTTGCTGGAAGAAAAAATAGTAAAAATACTAAAAATGTGGACTCTTGGGAACCACAAAGGGTATGTGAAATTTGTATACTATATCACATTAGTAATTAAGAGCAAAAAAAATTGTACTCACACTCAAGTGAAAGGATAATTTACAAGTTTTGTAAGCTATAATTTTGGTAGTGTTTAAATGGCCCTTCTTGCCAAAAGCTGAGGGGGACTAGGGACTATGCATGATATTTTCATTGTTTGCTTTTTGAGATTAACTCAACAATACCATAACGAATATCTAATATAACTATACATTTCCGAAAATGAAAACATTACTCTCTTTACAGTGATAATGAAGACATTTGTGATATTTCAACTTAATCTGAGTTTCATATTTTCACTATATATTATAGCTTTATATTTTGTTTCTTGTGACATTGTTTTCCCCAATTAGATTTTTCAATATATTGTTCTTATTCGAATTGTCAATTTAACATGAACACTTTAGGAAGTATGGATCGTAAGTGGATAAATGCTATGCGCACAAGTATTGAATATGAGAATGGAGTGGAAGACTTTTTGGAGTTTGCTAAGCGACATGATTCCGAAAGTTTGAATGGAAAATTTTATTGTCCGTGTGTGAATTTCCTGAACAATCGACGACTATGTGTTGAAGAAATCAGAGAGCATGTCCTTTGCGATGGTTTCAACAAGAGTTATACACGGTGGATTTGGCACGGCGAATTTGATATGCCGAGTGCATCCCAAACTGAAGAAATTGATGCAGAAGATGCAGATATGTATGATCGGGTAGAAGACATGATTAATGATGTCGGAGCAGAGGCATTTGAACAAGCACATGTAAATAAGGTTTGTGAGTCCTTGTATGTTGATGCAGAAAAACCTCTCTACGGTGGTTGCAAGAACTTCTCCCGTTTGACTGCAATTTTAAAACTAATCAACTTGAAGGCAGCAAATGGGTGGAGTGATAAGAGTTTTACAGAGTTGTTGTGCTTGCTTAAGGAAATGCTCCCCGAGGATAATGAGTTACCAAAATCTAATTATGATGCAAAGATGGTTTTTTGCCCGTTAGGCTTGGGTTATAGGAAGATTCATGCTTGTCCTAATGATTGCATTTTGTACAGAAACGAGTACACAAGTCTTCAGGAGTGTCCAGAATGTGGAGTTTCACGATTCAAAAATGAAGCTGATGCAGATTTAAGTACACGTGTTCAACATA